CTCTCATTCTCAGCTACAAAAAAAGTCCTATGCAATTTTCCTGTAGGACCTACAGTTTAGGAGTTATTGAGAAAAAACGAAATTTTTTTCCAAAAGTTCGCCATTTCGGCGCTGGGATGGTCGGATTTTGTCAGTAACCATAAAATGCGGAATAATCGTACTTAACTCTTTAAATATCGAAGTTAAAAGAAAAAGAACTTTTTTTTAAGCACCCAATTGAGCTTCGGTAATAAGTCCTGACTTTTGAATTGGCTTGTTTTATTCTTGGAGCAACCTTGTTTGCTATCAAGGAGGTTTACGGTCTATCGATTTACGGTAACTACGTGTTGCGAAGCCTCCTACGATAATTTCAAGATACTTGCATGTACGTATATGTAAAATAGAGAAATGAAAATTGATTTATCGCACGGATAAAGGATAGTTGATTTTAAAATTGTTTGATCATCGTTAGCATAGAGATTGCGAAAAATAAAGAAGCAACTCTCGTCTCTCTTAGACTATTAGATTGTCACGGAGATAGATATCCTACTGAATAATTTATGAAACATTTAGTTTCTCATCACAATCTATTTTCTAGATTATAATTTAACCGAACAATTTTAAACCACGCAGTATTAAGTATTATTATTGCCGCGAAAAAACATTGCAGTAACGTCAGTCGCAATTTAACGATCCATCGTAAAAAGTTGAATACTTAAAAAAATACACGATTTTATCCTAAATAAAAGGTTGTGCATACTTAAACATTTTTATTACAATATAAAACAGAATCGAATGAATCATGAGCTCAGAAACAGGGTCTTGGATTTTTTTGATTGCCGGATTAACAATTAACAATTAAATTTCTCTAAATCTCAATCAGCAGCTGGAACATTCTTTAATTATGAATTAACTTCAATCGTTCGAATTTCTTCTAGTTAAACTGATTAAATCATTTTAATTCTTAATTAGTGAAATTCGTACGTTAATTGCCAGTTGATATACAAATAAATTAAAGATTTCATTATTTATAAGAAATAATGTTAACTAAGCAGAGAAAAAATTATTTGTTCAGTATTCTAATTCCGTAGTCAACAACGTTGACCAAGTTCATCTCTTTTGACGACGCCTACTCCTTCGCAAAATTATAAGTTGACTCCATACTTCCACCACTGATTGGTTGGTAATTTGTCGGAATAAGTTCGTCCAGGGGGTACCAAGGTCGGGGGTAAAATTTACCTGTTAGGGTAAATTCGTACCTATGGTCAGTTGAGTTTTATCTGCCTAGGTCAGTAGACATAGAGCTCAACTAGCCTGAGTCTGGGTATTTTTCACAAGTTTCTGAAGTTAGTTTACGTGGTAGACGATTTACTGTGCGGATCTTTGATCTCGCGTGCTATATAGTACGTGCAATCCCGCTTTGTTTTGCTTAGCCGAGATAAGGCGAATACGCGTTTAACTAGTTAAGGTTGATACTGCAGAAGAAAAATTCAGCGAAATCAGTCGAAGCAAGATTAAGAAACAAATCACGTGTGCACTTGGTGAGAAATTTTACACGCTTCTAATGTATCCCTTACAATAAACGGCACCGGGTCTTATCGAAGTCTCGCTTTTCGGAGTCGAAGTTTCCTTCATTGCGTGACTCGTTATTTATTCATCGTTCCAGATGCCGCAGAACCGGAGAAAGTGAAACCGGAAGATCCAAGGATCGACGCGACGAGCGGATCGACCGGGTCGACCGGGAAACGCGCGAAGAGCAAGAAGAGACGCGAGGCCCAGCAGGAGTTTACGCATTCGTGGATGGTTGGTGCGTTAAAGGGTCACACCGCCCCTGTCCTCGACATGAATTTCTCCAGCAACGGCAAGTTCCTGGCAAGCTGTGCCGAAGGTATGTGGCGCTTCATCCTTGAAACGCATACGGGGATGATTCATGTTTTCCAAATTGAATCGTGTCTCATTGCAAGGTCGCGGATTTTTATGGTATTAGTTTACAAGATTCACTTTTGCTAAACACTGCAATATGCGCTTGGATTTTTTTATAAGCAACGTTGGTTTTCTTTCAAATGCACAGAATATCTGCTATCTACTCATCGAATCATTTATTCCAAAGCAAAACACGATTCGCCCCCGTATGCATTATTTATGTATCTTTATCAGGCATCTTCCTTATCGCTTTAGCGCCGGATGAGAGATTAACCAATCGTTTTGTCAATTCTTTATCAGTTGCAAACGCGTTATTCGTAGTAGATAAAGAAAATATTTCGACTGCCTTGTCCGCGTGTCGTACCGTTGTCCCTGTAATAAAGTTAAAAAGTCTCGGCGTGAGTCATAAATCAGCACCGGCGACATTTATTTTGAAAATTTCCATTGGTCGATGGTACTGCATTGACGTAAGCAACAATTGCCGCGTGTTGCGCGAGAAAAGCGATAAAAAAGTTGCGTCTCCGATAGAGCCTCCATTTTTTCTTCATCAGTCCTCCGAACGCTTTCTTCTGCCCATGCGAAATAGGCACCGAGCGCCGTGTGTCCGGCGGCTTCTTTTCGTTTTGCATGTTTCATTTGCCCGCGTCGGTAACAAAAGTTGATCTCCGTCTCCGCTTGCACTGTTTCCGACATGATTTACGATGTTTGTGTGTACTACACGGCTTGTGACGTTTCTTCTCCGTCTCGTTCGTGCTCGGAGATAAACGTGACCGTGTACAGAAATAAGAATCGCACGAGTAATATTCGTGCACGAGAAATACGAGAGCACCGGTATTGTATTTATCTATTTCGATGTTTTAATTAATTCGCATTCCTTCCGCGTGCAGAAACACTTTAGTGTCAAATGAAATGCAAGTATGTTTGCATGCGGAGAATTATTGCCGTGAAAATTGTACTTAAAAGTGCAATTGAGAGGCTCGTTATCATAAGATATGGTCGTACGCCGATACATTTTAATAGCCGGTTTGTACTAACTAACGGAAGGTACACTCGGAAAGGAAACACGTTTTTACGCGAGAGGAACGGCTTATTACCGGTTAACCCGTTCACGATTTTTCGTTCGACTCCTATGAAAAGAAGTAGACGGGCCGAGAAATGTAGGTCGGTCGCGTGTTCCGAGTGAAATCAAGCCTACAATCTCTCTCTCTCTTTCTCCCTCTCTCGGACAAAAAAAGAAGAAACGGTTATCCCGATATATCGGATATTCCGTTTATTCGTGCCGTTCGCTTTTTCCCCTTGGGATATATAAACTTTAGAATCCCGGTTTATCGTCCAATTACCCGAAGACGAAAACGAGTAGTGAAAGTATGAAAATGTGGAAAAATCGCTCGCGCCCGAACGACCGCTTTCACTATTTCATCTTTGAGATCGAAACTGGATTAAGCGGCTCGATTTCTCGTTGAGGACGGCGTGATGAAACTTTTATTTAACCGCCGGCCGGGTCATCCATAAACCAACAAAGTTAGATGGGTTTTCGCAACGCACGCTGTCGCATAAGGGTTAAAATATTTGAACGACTCTCTCGGTGTACCGTATCCTTTAATGGTCCACGTTCGTGGGTGACCCGTTGGCCATGGAAGATTTTCGAGTTTCTCTTCTTTCGTTCCTCCCGGTCGGGATTAACCTCGAGTCCTCAAGCACGTTGCACATGCCGTCCATACGTCCATGTCGTCACGCGGAAAGAAACAGGAACGTTACCCGGAAAAAATATCTTATCTGAATGCACCTAAATTTTCTTATCATTGTGTCTCCTTTTTTTTTCAGTTTAATTACATTTTTTTAGCTTACATTTTGTTTTAAGACTACGTTAAAAGTTTTATAGCGATGCGTAACACAGAATTGGTCAGAATCTATTGAAATTTTATGTCCCATTTGTTGACATCATTGAAAGATTATTCGCTAATTAATATGAGTCATCGGTCTACGTGTATGAACGGTAGTCATGAGTCATTCTCTTTGTAAAAATTGTGTAAGAATTCAGTAATTTATTTTTGTTCGTATCAACGATCATTCCGAATTGAGTTCTGCGAAACGATATATAGAATTCGGGGCCACTGTGCCCGGTCGCCTATCGCTCGCCTTCTCGATACGTGTACACGTAACAAGCGATTGTAACGAGCTAATAATAGCGCGACGTGGGAAATTCTCTGGCCTTAAATCAAGCCCACCGGTTTGAAGCGACAGATTGCTTATGTCCACCGTCCCATCCACTCGATGAACGGCTCGTCATAAGCCGATAATTCGGTGTACAAGATTACTAGAGTCAGCCACCCTTTCCGATGCTAAATCTAATTAGCCAGGTCCCCCGATTTCTCCTATTCGCACGTCGTTCCCTATCGCCCGTTCGTTGATAAAATACTTATCTGTGTATTAACAGTGGAACCAGTCGATCATAACAATTTTAATCTAATTTATTTTATCTATTCCATCTGATGTTGTGGATAATTCGTATACGGGTGCATTGCATTTTCGAGATTCTTAATCGAACCGGATACTGGCTCATTTCCTTGGACCACGCGATCGCGTGCTGGGCGTTAGTCAGAGACTGGTGGGATTTCCTCAAAGAATCGAGCGGAGGCAATGGCGGATGATTTCACTAAATGACGCAACGGTACATATCGAAGCCGGTCATTCCTGCGAACGGGGATACCGTGTTCCGTTATCCGAGTCACTGTCGAGATATTCTCTTCCGTTTTCTTCTTCTTATTCTTCTTCTTATTTCGATCTCTCTTTCCTTTATAAAGCGGAGCACACGATTTTCGATATCTGAACGAATGACGAAGTTAGATTAAATAGCCTTGCATAAAAGAGACTTGCAATTTTTTAAATCGTCATTGAAATTGATTGTATTTCTCTTAATTGGAAATTTTTGAAATGTGAATCAATTATTGCAATACTTTCGATTATGAACGGTTGTTTTTAAAAAGAAATTAGGATATCTGGTTGAGAATTGAAGAAACAGTCACGGGCTCAGGATTGAAACTGTTTATCTATTAATAATCGTGAGACGAAATGCAGAAACGTGATAAAATATTGGCAAATACCAGAACGTGCCAAGAAATGTACAGACTACTTAAAAACTTTATGGTTTTAGACGAAATTCCGGGTCAATCGTGCAAGTCATCTTGTTATCGTCACTTATCTTGATGATCACGAGATTTAAATTCGCCTGAAAAAGATTGTGTTGATAAAAACTCAGAGATTTCGTAACGAGTTGAATGGATTCCAGCCAATTTCAAGTTCTGTGTCACGCGGCTCGAACATTCCCTGAAACGCGATCATTCATTTAATAGTAAATAGTCTACTTTGACTATTTGAATAAGATTCGACAAACATTGCACTTACGCGACTGAATCGCTCGTTTCGCATTTGAACGCGTGCTATATGAAAAGAACGGTACATCTGGCTTCAAAAAGAAAGCGGAGGACCCTTTCCGTGACGCGTGTTTGGCGAAAGTTTCGCGAATCGTTGACCAGACACAAGAAGCGTTAAAACGGTTCACCTTTTAGTTAACGAGAGCGCGACGCCACTCGATTTCATGCCTCCTTTTTTTCACTCAACGCTGTTAAAAGGATCTTGTCCGAAGACAATCGTAAACTTTATACTTGGAAAGTTGTACAGCTTTTTTTTTCAATCAGTTTGCTTTTCATGCTCGCAACGATGAGCGTTGACTCTATCGGATATCGATTTCCCTTTAACGAAAGTCGATGCTTACGCGTTGACATATTGTTACTCCTTTATGCACAGACAAAAATCACACACGTATACGTTACTTCATACGTCCGTGGCAAGCTTTCACTTTCATCTTCTTCTTTTATTTCGCTCGGGGAAAATTAACAATCGCGAACATTTGCAATTTGTTTCTTTTAATCGAGGTACCTATTAAATCTTCCAATCGGTCACGCTGGAATCGTACCAAGTTTATTTCCATTGTACACGGCACCGGTTCAAGGCAGATATACGGTCTCTGGGTCAAGAGCGGCTCGGATCGATCGCGACCGCGAGTTTTTGGTGCATCGCTGATCAAGCTGTGGTTTCATGCTTGAGCAACGTACACCAAAAAAATAATTCTCATTATCCTCTCTGTTCACTTCTCACGTTCAAAGACAAGATCTCCGAATGTAGAACACCTCACCGAACAAACATCGCGAATGAAACTTGCAAATTGTCTCACTTTTGATAAGAAATGCAAGAAAGAAGTAGTATAAAGAAAATCATAGCTGCATGGTGTGTGACGAGTTACCCTAACAATGTCTAATATAGGTCACAAACTATAATCCTCGCTTGCGGACGATGAACTGACGTATATATATGTTTTGTGTGTGACATAAAGATTGCGGGCTGCGGCCGGAAGAGGAGATGCTGGACCCTGGCGACACGGATTCCTACGCCGCCTGCAAGGTGAAGCAAGAGGCACCGACAACCAACAAGCAAGCGTCTAGATGCAAAAGCAGATCTTCGACCACGTCGACTGCATCCAACGACGCATCCAGTTCGTCAACGACAGCTAGCACATCGACCGATTTGTCGCCGTCCGTGAAAGAAGATCGGGCTATTCTCAGCCGGAGGCAGCGAAAAAATCGGACAAGAACCCCTCGGGATCAGCGCCGTGAAATTCGGGAGGACGAAGATGAACAACCGACGCAGGAGAGGCATCGATCGAGACACGGTCACTGTTCTACCAGACATTCCGAATCGATGTCCACTAATGCAAATCGGAGAGATTCCACCTCGCGAGGTCAAATTCCGAACAATACGCGTCCGGAAGAGAACGAAAGCCAGATTCCAATTAGCATGAGCGGCCATTCTGTAGAGTCGACTATCGTGTGGCGCAGTCAAAGAAATAAAGTGTACTATTTCAGCGAGACGTGGCTGAATACTATGCTACACAGGTACACATTGACTCAAGAACAAATGATGGACATGGGATACCCGGTGGAGTGCGGCATCTACCCGGGTTGCGCCTACATAATCATTCTGCGAAAGCATCCGACCGGCCACCGTATTCGCGGCTACCACCGCCTGGACGTGAACGCGCGTGAATTCGTTCCTGGAAGTGGCAGAATCTGCCAGATAGAAAGCGAAGGAGACAGCGGACATTGTACCGGTAGCTCTGTCGAGAGTTCTGATTTGGAACAAGAGAGCTCATCGGACAGTGATAACATCGGCGAGTCTTCCGCATCTATCGACTCCTCCTCTTCCGGGTCGAGTTATCAGCAGGAAACTAGAAGAGACCGTAGCCCGAACATCAACGAATCCAACAAGCTTCCGAGGAAATGCGCCAGGTGTTACCAGTACTTCTTCGTGAATAAGGAAAACGGAGAGTACGTACAAGAAGAATCCTGCGTATACCACTGGGGCAAGTTTCGTAACGGTCCTGTGGATAACATGTGGGAGTGTTGCCTTGGTCTGGCAAACGATCGGGGCTGCACCACGGCCGAGAATCACGTGTGGACGGGTCTAGATGAGGGTTGCAACGGCCCATTCCCGAATTACGTGCGCACGAGGTCAGTGAGCACCGGTTCCGCAGACATCAACTTGGGTGTTTATGCCCTCGATTGCGAAATGTGCTTCACAAAGCTAGGACTTGAATTAGCCAGGGTCACAGTCGTCGGCTTAGACGGTGAAATTGTGTATGATACTTTGGTGAGGCCGATCGAAGAGGTGATCGATTACAACACGAGATTTAGCGGAATAACAGCAGAGGATCTCTCGAAAGCGTGGAAGACGCTCACGGACGTTCAAAACGATCTTACGAGCTTCATTTACGCGGAGACCATCCTCATTGGTCACGGCCTGGAAAACGACCTCCGCGCGCTTAGACTGCTGCACTCGACTGTTATCGACACGTGCGTGGCCTTTCCGCACGTTTTCGGATATCCGTATCGCAGCAGCTTGAAGACCCTCGCGAGGACAATTCTGTGGAGGGACATTCAAGTGGCCGAACACGACTCCGCCGAGGACGCGAGAGTGGTTCTTGATCTCATGCTCAGGCGGCTAGAGCTTGATCTCTTATAAAATAGTGAAAGACAAAACGAACTGCCTTCACCGATTCTGATGGATGAATACGCATTAGGATTGTCCAACGAGATACGATCACGTCTATTATTAAAAAGTGTTGATACATGTCTCGAAGCTTGTTACATATTTACAAGTATCGATTTTGATATATTATATCAATATTCCGTAGGATGCGGATCGATCTCTTTGGACAATTGTCACACAATCCATCAGAATCGCTGGGGTCGTTTGTAACTGATGAACAGTACATATTTACGCGTATTATATAAACGTAGTGAACGGACAGTCGGGTTTTCTTAAACGCGAGACGAAGAAACTGTGAAGTAAAACTGATTTTTGATTCGTCCGCGTGATCTCGTGAACTCGATGGCGGTTCCCAGCACGCGTAATCGCCTCTTTTTTTTCTGTTTCTTTTTCCGAGTACGGTGGATCTATTGTACGGGAACCGAAAAGTAACAAAAAAAAAAACTCTTCCGTCAGTGTTCAGTTCCAAGTGAAGTCTGTGATACGTTACATATACAAGAAGAACATAACGAAACTCTTAATGCGCGATCCGAAAACGTTTTAGTGTTCCCCACATTTTTTGGGACGCGCTTCTCATTCGCACAGATAAATTCAGATTCGAGGCGAGTTCACACGGTTCAAGCGTAATTTAAATTGAAAAGGTGTAAAAATAAACGTGATTGATTCGTTACAATTCAAGGTAAAGTGCTTATACACTTCGCTTCGAATTTTGTTCAATTCAAATTCACTGTCAATGAGCTCAATTGTCATTTATGCAAAAGTAAACCATGTTAATTCGCCTCCACAACGTACACACACGCATATACATATGCGATTCATAATGTTCGATATCATGCATAATAAGGCGCAGGTGAATTTTTTAAAGGGCCGTAACACTGCCGAGTAAAAAGTTCGGCTCAATTCACTTCTATATTTTTTCTTTATACATTTAGAATCTCCATTATGATCAAATGTATTCATTTATTTCGAGTCATCTATTTTTTTCAATTGCATTGATAAGCGTTCACTTTGTGAACTGATCCGAGAAGATAGGTGCTCGTTGTTTGTACATAAAGAATTTTTTAAACGATCTTTAAGCAATAATTATTACGTAGCGATAAGATCTAAGAGAGTATTATTTACTTCCTTTTATCAGACGAATCGTACGACGCGATGAAATCCAGTTAAAAATAAATATAAAAATATAAAAACAGTCGAATAAAGGAGAGAGAAAATCAGATTTCGGGAGACGTTTTTCTCGGCAGTGTTACAACGTTCATTGTACGAAACCTATATTTCAGACGTCGTCTGTCGTACTTTAGGTTTGTAGCATCTTCGAGTCTCTCGCACGATCATACGAGAAAAGTAAGAATACAAGTTTGTATTCTATACAAGTTTACACCTCCTCAATTTGAGTACACGCATTATATATGTACATATATATATGTATACACGACATATATAAAAGTATATGTGTACACACACACATATACAAATAAAAACTGTGCGCCTGTGGTCATATACCCTAACACGAGCTCTTCTCTCATACATATTTCATCCCACGTTGTTTTTTTGTACACGTACCCAACGAGGAGGAGGACACGCGGCGTCATTGATGCTGGTAAGTGTCTCTCTCGGGCTTCCACGCGAATGATGGCTTTGCATTTAAATTTACCTCGAAAAAGAAACGACGTCTAGAAAATGTCGCTAAACGAGGACACGCAGCCGCTCCACCGCGAGACCAGACATTACTCTTGATTTTCTTGGTATCTCTGCTCGTGCTCGTTTCGATAAATACGAAAGTTTATCGCGCTTTTCGGTAGTTTGACGAAACGAGCTAAAAGAAGAAGATAACGAACGTTATCAGTACGTGTAGGACCCGACATTCTTTTTTCCTTGATGAAACGTCGTCTGATTTCTTTTCTGGACAAGGAGAAGCGAACGTGAGCCGAATCAAGCGACATTTTTATAATTGGCCACGATAATCCATATCTTTCGCGTCCGTGTGCCGCAATGTTTCCGTTTCGTACGTGCGCGAGCATGTAAACGATCGAATGTTCGACTCCTCGACAACTGTAACCGAACGATTTCGTGGCCCTGCTGCGAATTCATAACGCATAGCTGATAGCGATTTTTATACTTAATTAGCCGACATTAATTGACGCCTCGTGTACTCGTGCGACGCAGCTGAGAGAACGACTTTACAACATATATTCAGTAGCTAAACGATGCCGAATTATCCTGAAAACTTCTACATACTTAATTTTATCAATCCTGCCACCTCAAGTTTTTTCCTTATTATTTTTTAACTTATCTCGACTCGCGTCAAGACGTTGTCTTGTCTCTGCATTCTTCATACAGTCTCTGTGTATATACGATCCATCATTCTCTCATGATATTGAAACATATTCTCAGAGAGCGTTTCTCGACGCGCGCGTAATCCGTTTGTTGATAGCGCGAGCCGAGACGCAGCCTCGTTTTCATTAACACGTGACAGCGACGCCGTTTTCACGTCGGAGGGAGAGAAAAGCAATACCGTCGTTCATCGCTTTGTAAATAGCATAATATTTATTCGAGAGCGAGACTAAAGTGTACCTGTGCATTCTCCTGGAGGAGGAGTTCTTTTAGGGAGCTACGACTCGCCAGGGGATTCGTTCACCCTTGCTCCGTTCCTCGCCATCCCTTTTTTATAACTTTTCATTTGTACGTGAGAATGTACTGCGACGAATACATTTACAATCGAGTGAATAAGGAAGATTAGAATATCGTGTCTCTAACAGTTGTAGAGATCACGCGTATATTTTAATTGTATGATGCATATCCGAAGAGTTGCTGAAAGTACTTCGAAACTCCGAGTCAGGGACGTTGATATGAAACTCAGAAAAGCGAGCGAACGAGTTTCGAAGTGGTTTGAGCAAGCGTACTTGTAACACGAACATGTAAAACTTATTGATTTTTAATAAATGATGGATCGTTTCGATCCGGAATCCGTCGACAGGTGAAATTTCATGTGAATTTTGAGTAAGCATTAACCATCTCCGAGGTACGATCGGGTTACGCAGCTCGACGGGCGATCCTTCTTATTGAGAAATATTCTATTCCTTATCACCGGTGGAGGATCTTTCGTTCCTTTTTCAGAATATTGCGTTGGATGAGAGTTCATGATGAATCATCATCGACCTTGGAGCGATCTCGTTCGGAGCTCGCGCGATCGCCGTTAAGAATTCGTTTTGTCGAAACGATGATGATGATGATGATGAGATCTTTACGAATAATGGCCGATTGGAAAGCTTGTTTTAGAGACAACAGGCATTCCTTCTGCTCCACTGAGTCGGAAACGTGTATTTAAATAAAACAGAATCACGAAATTCGAATCATCTCGTTTCTCATTGTTCGAAAGCGGAGAGGCGTTTCCATTCCATTGAGTTGCTGAAAATAAAAAGTAAGAGAACAGGAGAAACGAATCCCCGCGAGTCACGTCCCTGAGAGGAGACAATGCGATCTTGTACCGCGACACGAATTCTGCGATAATGTGCACCGTATAATGAACTCCCTTTGTTGTCCTTTCCATTTCTTTTCTACCCTTTAACAACGGCCGAGCACTCGAGAGTGTGTCTGCCTTCTTTTATCGTCGAGAGCGTGATACGTAGCTGCGGATAAAACTGATTAATGCAAATTGCGAGGGGAAAAGGTAAAGACGAGAACGTGACCGAAACAGAATTCGAGAATCTTTCATTGAAAATTGTATCTGATCGAGCGAAGTTTCACAGTGGCATCAGGTTAGGTTCGTGCACGTTGGTGCTCGCGACGTGAAATCGTAATTGATTCGCGGCCAATCGGTGGCAACCATTATGGATCTGGTGGCAACGTACTACTGATCATCGATTAACTTGGTCGATGACTGCATCGCCTCGTTGATACAATTGCGGCCCGTGTGTATATATTTTTGTTCGGTGACGAGGAACGAAACAAAGGATGCACAGGGTACGTACTTTGCGTCTCCAACGATCGTTTACCCATTATTAAGCGTTAGTGAATAGAATGGAGGAGTGAAAAACGAAGGCATCGCGTGAACGGAAGAAGAAGGTTGCATAAGGACGGAACGATGACAGAGGGAAAGAGAAATATAGAAGTCTAATCTAAGATTACCTTCCGTCCCCTTTTTCCTATAATTTATCCGTCGCGATTATATTACTAAAAAATCATTGTCATAACTTCGAGTTTCACGATGACCCTTTGCAGGTTTCACATTTTTGTTCGCACTGCTCGTCACAAATCCCCGAATTGTCAAATTGGTTTCCTCGCTCTATCTTGTTCGTAAAATTTCTCGTCGTCGTGAAACTTCGGTACTAGTCGATCTTCTTCGCGTCTTGGAAAGAAGATCGACGTACTGCCAAAGTTTCCACATCGTGTCTTTTCTTGTCTTCGCAGAAACATGCAAAGGGTCGAGAGTAATATTTATCCATTCTTCCGACTAGGTTTATGTAATAGATCTATACTTGAACATCGCCGCGTTTGACTCTGTCGATTTCGCAATTAGTTTTAAGTTAATCTAGTAAAGGACGTGGAAAATGCAATAACGATCGCGACGCTACCTCCGAGAAAAGCAATATTTTAACTGCCCTTAGATTAACGCAGCGCCCGAGGCGCGAACTCGCGACACACGATATACAAGTATAATATTCTCCGTACTCTAAGCTTAGAATAATTCCTCGATTCATAGGTAATTAGGTATTACCAGCCAAGCGAATTTAGAACGTAAGGGTCGTGTAATTACAGTTAAACGACGCAGTGTCCAGCCATTAACCGGAGCACGTAATCATCGAAACGCGAGCATAATTACCTGCTCGTAATGATTTCCGTGTTCTTTGACGGGTTCTCATCGCGCGAACACACCAGCCCGTTAAGGTTGTATGAACACTTACATAAGAACAATGACAAAGCATTGAAATTTTAACAGTTACTAGATATTACATTAATAAAACGCTGTACAAAATTTTAGAAATTTTACGAGTCTATTATAAAAATTATATCATCTTGATTTCATTTATGAAACGATATGAATGCAACAATGACAGAATTTTGTAATTTGATATAATTCTTAATACATGATTTAAGAATGTTTTAAAGTTGAATTAATGTCAATTTCGAGGATATTATGCGGCGATGTTCAGGTTATCGACAGGATAGTATTTGTTAAGTAAAAATGAAGAGTGGAAAGTTCGATGGTAGCTTCCGGTTGCATCTTCGTTTCACGAGTACAAAGGTCACAACCAGACACGTAACATAATTTTGTTCCAAGAGATTGCGGTATCTTCCGTAACTTTCTCTTTCTCTCTGTACAAAAGTCACACTCGATCGACTCTTTTTCGTCTAATTACTAGACTGCATTCAAAGAATAATGTACAGAAAATGTAATTTGCAAGAGCATGCATTGCAGGTGACACATCGTTATTTCTAAACGATCGAAGAAGTTTCAATTTACATTTATGTTAGTTTGCTGAAGAATCTGCAGCCTACTAATTAAGACCATGCGTTCTAGCGTCGGATTACAAAAGGTGGATTCTATCGATTTGGCTTATATTTTATGGATCGAACGACGATCGTTCAAATATCAAGAAATAATTTCCCTTTTAAGCTGTTTGCATCGCGTGGCCGTGTTTGCTCGAACCATGGTGGAATATTCCGTTTGAAATACGCAGAGAATTATTTCTAACGAGCTGACCCATGGGTTCGTTTCGTTTCACATTGGCAACGTGTTTCTATCCGAATCCTGAAACATGTTTTTCGGTAGAGAATCAACGTGGATACGTTTCGTCGCGATGCAAATGGTTTGAGGAAGAAATATGGTTAGCGTGCGGAGAAAGTGTTCTTTTCTTTTCGGAAGAAACACGATATTGTGATCGCGACTAGAGTTGTGGAAGATTAAAATGTAAATATTTGTTAAGTTGGGTGTGTATTTCTTTCCTTGAACCCGATTTAAAACAGTGAAACGTATCGTTACGTTACGTGGCCTGCAATTTTACTTCTTGTGCAAAAAGATTACATGCTGAATCATAGATTCGGTGAGAAGAAATAAAAAGGAGGAAATTGGGATCTTTGATTTGTTTTCAACGTGACTAAACAAAAATCGATTGTTTACAAGACCGTATCGGTTATTATCTTCAAGACTTTCTTAGTCCTCTCTGATAAGACCTTTTGGAAATTTTTTTCATAAAACGTTTGCCACAGCATACGAAAGATTAACAGCACATTATGACAGTAATTAATGACAAAGGAGTTTCCGCTTAATAATCCATAACAAAGCAATTCTTTTTTCCTACAAGATTATCATGACACAGGTAATACTTATTGAAGTATAGATCATATATAGGCAATCGATATCTTTCTCGATAACTGCGAAATTTTTTATTTAGAAGTACCGAAAAGATATGAAGATTATAACCAGGAATCGACTTACATATTCGTCGACCTTTATACATATTTAAGGTTACATAAACCCTTACATAAAAGACAATGACAAAGCATTAAAATTTGAACAGTTACTAGATATTACATTAATAAAATACTGTACAAAATATTAGCGCTATTAAAAAAGTTGTTACATCTTGAATTCTCATATCGAATGAAAGACTTTTCGTTTGAACAGAACTTTCAGCCGCTATTAATAACGCTTTTAAGTGCAAGTAGCTGCACAAAGAATCGTTCGTCGACGTTTTCTTTCCTTCCTGCAACTGTACATACAACTGTACTATTGTAATTGTCCAGTCTGGCTGTTAATTTCTAAGCGACTCTCTTCAATTGAACGCGGGCCAAGTTTAAACATACCGTTGAAAGTATCAAAGCTGTCGCTATGCATCTTACGCAACCGGCGCATTACAATACATTAATTCAATTGATACGGTCAACTGAAGCCGGTTTATCTACGTGCGTACGCGTTACGAAATTTCTTCGTGAATCTCCGTAATCTTCCCCAGCGACGTAAGTCCGGAAACCGAGCAGAACCGAGAAAACGCTTCGATTCCGGGGTCGCGTGCTACGCAATTGTTGCACAACGTACGATTATTACATTTCGCATTGCGTAACCTTCCTACCGATCTCTCATCGAAGACGGCGCTGAAATATTTATCTATCCGCCTAGTTAAAACTGGCCGTGAAACGTACAACGACCAGTCGAGAGACGGTTTATCAAATAACGAGAGAATCATCGCACGATTCGTGACATCGTAAAACAAGCTGATGTACGAAAACGCGAAGTCCTTGGAGTTAAATAAAACGTTCAACCGCGCGTGCATCTATGTAAGTACATACAGAAATGTACAGCGAAGCATTTGAAATTCTTTATTAAAAGAGGTACTCAGAATTTATGCGGTAAGAAACTTGCATGAAGTAGCAATTTAGCATTCGTTAGATTTTATATCTCCGTTAATAGGAAACTCTCGGCAGGTAGTAGCGGACACGAGGAATGACGAGGGATCATGAAACAGGCTCGTTGCTCACCGATATTCGTCAGGTTTTTACGCGGGTCAGGGACGTATTCGGAGGCGTTGCCGCTTTTAAATTTGTCTTTCACGGCCGCTTCAATTTCGAACCGGTGTTTCTCATTAACGACGAGGCCGGGGCTGTTGAACCCCGCAGATTTTCGCCTCGGAGGGAACGCCGGGTTCGAGGTGAACGATCGCCCTAGCTTGTGAGATTTAATGCGTGATCACGATAGAGAAGCTTTCGAGGTCGAATTATACAACAGACACGAGGAGCCGACTGGTTCTGTCTCTCTAGGACGATGATCTTCAGTCTTTTTATTGAACAACGGGTAGTCGCCAAGGACAGCGACCAGTGTACCGTTACGGTCAATCGAATTTTTGACTCGGGTTCATGAAATTCAGATGTACGAGGTGAATTAATGTGCTACTTAAAAATTGTCCAATGTTCATCGATTTAGTTTTATTGTACTCCGAAGTCTAACGGAAATAATTGTATGCTTTGGATCTGTAGAAACTAGTTAAACATCGAATGCAACGAAGCATCAATTAGAATCCATTATCGACTTGTATTCTCATGTTTCGTAGCCAAGGGTGAGCCGCGTGGAATTCTCCGTCTCGTTTCTGCAATGTTTGCATATTTTTAAACATCTACCGCGTCGCGAACGTAACTGTCTTTCGCGAGAAGAAAGTTATAGTTTCGAGTATTTATCAAGTTCGCACCTTTCCTTCACCCAGCATTGTTCTCGACTATCTCATTCGTTTAACGCCTGTTCATTTCACAACGTCATCTCGCGTACAGATTAGCGTAATCAGACTGCAGTGAAATAAATTAAATCAGGTTTTGTCTCGTGGCTGTCGTTTGTTGTTAAAATGTAATTGCAACCCTTCAGTTTTTATGACACAGGAAAGAGTTTATTTAGGGCAGTTGGAGATAAGAGAGAGAGAGGACCAGGTTACGGAGAGAAAATCACGCGGCGCAACAACTTTCTTTCTTCGGATAAGGCGCGTGGGTAGCCTCGAGGAAGCGTTTCCTACGGTAGAAACGGCCCACGGTGACTTCGCGTCAGGGATAACACACCAACTTTCTCCACCTTCCATTCTGTCGCTTGGAAATCGTAATCCTCTTCTTCTCTGATCACATCGATATACCAATTTTTCTAAAGCCATCCTCGATTAAAGCTGTTCTGGCTGTACAATCTCCGCAAGATCCCTCTATCCCTAGATATCTTCGCCGCTTCAGTAGCTTTAAACTCATACTTCCTGTAATCATGTAAAAGTACTCGAATTTCGAAATTGTCCATGATTTTATTAAAATGAAAAAAAAAAAACAAATTATCAATAAATTAATTGTAACTAATACGTAAATATTAAATAACTTTCCAAAAGCTATAAAATGATATATAACACTTGTATATAAAGTATCTTCATTGACGTCAAAAAGATATACGAACTGGAACGACGAAGAAAACGCACGAACTTTTGGTTCACCCTAATAATTGATAACGTTACAAGACGGATTTAGTTTTTGGCAACCACGCTTTGATGATAAAAATAAGATAAAAGTGTTCACGGGTTAAAAATGAAAGGAATAACAGGACGAGGTAGTGGTTAGCATAATATCAGTGCGGTATCCTAACAAATAACAGTCTTCTCATTAGGATAATCTTATCGGTACCCGGTATTGGCATGCACCACACGTAAATTTATTTATCAGAGATCTTACGTTGACAGAACACCTGAAAACGTTCAAAGGTAATTTAAAACGAAGGACGGACATGTTACTGGCACTCGTAGATCTTTTTTTCAGATTTATAATCGAGTCGTTGCGAAATCGAGAGAAAAGATCCTCTCAATTCGTCGTGTTAGGGATATTTAAAAGATTTGCACATTTAAGGCAAGCAGTATTGACAAAGTGGTTACGACGGATGTCCCACTTCTCTCGAATTTCAATAAGTCCTTGCACATCGTCAACGTTCAACCTCCTTGTAATATTTCGCTCCACCGTTACGGCGAACGAAGGTGAATAAAATCGCGAAGTACACATACACATGTATATAGTTAGGAAACATTCAGTTTTCATCGGGTAAAACGATAGAAAAAAGAATCTGATGCTCGTCCGTTAGAATCGTGGGTCATTAAATATTCCGGAGGTAGATTGGCTCATTGTCGATTGAGAAGTCAAACGGAAGACGCAAACGTGGCTCATCGTTTGATTGCGAAATGGAACGTTACGTCAATTTCTGACTGGCTATGCTTTATCAATCGTCCAGCGGGACGAAATTTTTCGTTTATCTATTGGTCGACAAAAAAGACATTAAACGAGCGCGTATATTATGTGGAAATGTGTCACGAATCGATGGAGTAACGTTGGTTCGTTATCAGGAAAAATTTGATCGACGTCAACCCTTTTATTTCAATAATGAAGAAGTGTCAGATTGATGACATGCAAGTTCAACGCTGACACAAATCAGAGTTGATCTTTCGTTATTGATCAATGGAAAACATGTTATGGATACTTGTTATGGTATCTTTTAAATCAGAATAAGGAAAAAAGGGCGCGATGCCTTGCGTTCAACTGAAAGATATACGTGCCTCGAAAACGAATGGGAGGCGTGGGTGAACCACAAGGTTCACGACTTTATATTTAGCTGGTCGTATATTAACGTCAGGTATCGCTTTATTGCTACGTACTACTCTCGTTCACCCCGGTTACGCTTTCTCCTAGCACGGAGAGCTCGGCTTTTACATTTTCACGTATCAGCTCTTTTTGTATAATTGGCGCCTTTTCCGCTATCGATTTTCGATAACGCATTTTTTCTAAAGCGCCGTAATCACCTCGTCCCATTAATTAATTAATTTTTAATGGGCTTTCGATAAAGTCGATAGGATTAAAGCTACAGTTTCTAATTTAACTTGTTAACTTTTTGTGTACTACTAACTTGTGTTAAGTTTTGAAACAAGTCGAGTAGTCGAGAGACTGATGATCAGTATGCTGCTGGGTCGAATCTCATCCGTGTCAATACTTTTTTCATTTTCTTTTATGTACATATTTTTTCCAAATGCGCGTAAAATTTATACAATGTGCCCCAATGAAAGTTGTTTTTATTTGTTAAATTGAAAATGCATGTTGAAGATAATATAATAAATGTAGAATAGTGGACAATGTGCGTTCTCTCCATTTATATTTGTCGTAATCGTTGAGTTTTCCCGTTCGATGTTTACCTGGGATGTACGAGTCCACTTAGGTAAATGATTCATACAGGTATACAAAAAGGTTTTCTATGGTGACTGGGTTTGGGGCCCAAAGGATTTTAGCACTTAATGAAAATTTATGGCAGAATTTATGTTTCTGGAGATAGCTCCGACAGCTTTACAGCTAGGATTTAAGATTAGGATTTAATTTATAATATTATAAAACCTATGTTCTACGTTAAACCTAAATGTATTCGCTGTACATAATTACATCCATATCTGTTTTCTTGAATGTTGTTGGGGTCTGAAGTGTTTACGCACTTTGCCTCTCGACTACTCGACTTGTGTCAATGATTAACACGAACCGTTTATAACCGAGTAAAGCAATTTTCAAATGCAATTTTCTCGGAAAATCTGGAATATTGCACTCTACTGCTTTACCAAATTAAACTTCAATGATATCTTTGAGTGCTGCAGGTTTCCTCAAAATATCTCACCCGTCGACCGCGGTCTCCCCTTATGAGTGATGAATATCTTTAAACTTTTAAGGACACTGTAGCTCAATCTAGCGTTCGAGCCTACGAACCAATGTGCTATATGTAAAAGAAAAATTATAATTTCTTCGCGTTTAGACCAATTTCCGGACTTGTGAATATAGTCAAGAATTTGGAAGAACTCAATAGAACGTTTTCACCAGTATCCATGATCTAAATATTCGATCTAATAACTGAGACATTGGAAACGATTATAAGACGATAGATGGCGTAGTCAGTGCTGCCAGAATGCAGGATTCTCCTCTTCCCGTGCTGTCCCCCACTACTTTTTTTTGCCCCCACTTACCATGGTCACTGGAAACGTGCCTAATAATGCCATATGGAAGTGAAGAGAGCACGTTGAATTCCCCACTACTGTATGCTGCTGTATGCTCAATTGCTCTCTCCACTTACATACATCATTATTAAGCAAGTCTCCAATGACCATGAGTAACGTAAGTGGGGACAAAAAGAATTACTGGGAGACAGCACGGGAATAGGAGAAGTCGTGCATTTTGGCAGTTCTGGCAGCGCTGGGCGTAGTGACGCCACAATCGCCTCGAATCTCGACGTCTTCCGAAAATATTTCTCCAAGTCGTGGAAAGTCGTGCGCTTGTGTCAATTTAAGTGATAAATAAGAAAATCAGGAAGATCTGGGTTCTGGTTTCGAACGAGATGGCAAATTGGGACGACAACAGAGGCCCGATACCACCCCGATGGCTTCACTGTCCACGGAAAGCGATCAGATTAATTCAGAATAAGTTTCTGGCGTTCAAAACCCCATTGTCCTCAGCGTTCGACAGCCAGGTACCTGAGGAATGTCGTTTCACAGTGGATATGATGTTCGCCTCATTGAAAAGTCAGAAAATCAAGCTAGGCCTATGGATCGATCTAACCAACACGACGAGATTCTACGATAAGAAAAGTTTAGAACAATACGGATGTAAATATGTAAAGCTGCAGTGCAGGGGTCACGGTGAAACTCCTTCTGAGGATCAAACGAGAACTTTCATCAAACTTTGTAAAAAGTTCATAATGTATAATCCGCTGGAAGTGATCGGTGTTCATTGTACACACGGTTTTAATAGAACTGGATTTCTTATAATTAGTTACTTAGTCGAAACAGATGGTACCAGTGTAGATGCTGGTTTGGCAGAATTTTCCAATGCAAGACCACCAGGTATATACAAAGCAGATTACCTGCAAGAATTATATAGGAGATATGACGAAGTCGAAGACGCTCCTGATCCTCCACCCAAGCCAGCTTGGTGTTTAGAATACGATGACACCAACGTGGAAGACACAGATGATGGTCCAAGCACAAACAGTGACAGTCACAAAGAAATGACAAGTAGAAAAAGAAAACGTGAAGTCAACAACAGGAATCCAGTGTTCATGGCTGGTGTACCTGGGGTAGCTGCTATTTTGGAAGAGAAGAAGTTGAGTGGAATACAGAGACAGGTCCAAGATATTTGTTCTTGGAAATCAAATGGATTCCCTGGTTCTCAGCCAGTTTCCATGGATGAGGATAACATTAGACTGCTGCATATAAAACCATACAGAGTGTCTTGGAAGGCGGATGGGACCAGGTTAGATAGAAATGCATTTGAAATATTGAGCATTTTGCATTTTAAAATTTTGTTATTGTGTCTATTTAGATACATGATGATGATACAGGCAGATGGAGAAATTTATTTCATAGACAGAGATAACAGCGTGTTTCAAGTCAGTGGAATGACTTTTCCGCATGTAAGAGACATATCGAGAACCATCAGAGATACTCTGTTGGATGGTGTAAGTAATTCTAAGATTTACCAATTTATAAAACTAATTATGATCCTTTCCATAGGATATATTGTATATGTAGCAATCTACAAGACTAATTATGATCCTTACCACAGGAAATGGTGATCGACAAGGCAGACGGGAAAGAGTATCCGAGATATTTAGTTTATGACGTCGTGATGTACGACGGCAAGGACGTTAGCAAATTATCATTCCATCCCGACCGATCTTGTATAATCGAAAAGGAGATTATAGGCGGCAGACATAGGGCAATGAAAGAAGGAAGACTGAGAAAAGAAACGGAACCATTCTCGGTCCGAGTGAAACACTTTTGGGACGTAACGCAGGCCGGTGGGTTGTTACGCGAAAAATTTGCCAAGCAACTTAGCCACGAACCCGATGGCTTGATATTCCAACCCGCCAAGGAACCCTACGTGCCTGGACCTTCTCCAGAAGTGTTGAAATGGAAACCCTTGTCGCTGAACTCCGTCGATTTTAGGCTGAAGATAGTTACCGAGTCCGGCGAAGGGATCCTCCCGAGAAAAGTTGGCCATTTGTACGTGGGCGGTGTAAAAGAGCCATTCAGCAAAATAAAAATCAGCAAGCAGATAAAGAACCTGGACAATGCGATTATAGAATGTAAATTCGAGAATGGCCAATGGGCCTTCATGCGCGAAAGAACTGACAAATCGTTCCCCAATTCCTACAACACGGCGCAATCGGTTTGCAAGAGTATTATCAAACCCATTACGACGGAACGACTTTTAGATTACATAAACAGACATAGATTTATACAAGATGATTGCGACCTCATGCCACCACCGACGAAGAAATCTCACTACGAGAGTGTTTTACGAATATGAAATCTCTGTACCTAGCTTATTATACCCGATCAAATTTTCTTCAATCGCAATTGTGAAATTTTCAGCAGACTTATTGTTCGTTCAATAAAATTATATAATAAATCTCACGTGTTTTTCTGTCAGTTATTCCCCTTTCATTCAATCATTTCCCTTTTCGGAGCCAGTACCTACTTTTGATAAATAAGGCCAATTTTTGTCTGTTTAGATAGAACAGTTCTGGTATGGTGCACAAAGGAGTTAACAGTGAAAGAAAAGAGATCTTTGCGGATTAACATTGAATTCGATCACGCAACGCTAGTACGTTGGTCTCCCGATGGAAAAGCTTTCCTCATACACAAGGCTGTGGCGAATGTCATCGAAGTTTACAAGATTAGCAAAAAATCAGATGGCACTATAGCTTCCGCAACCAAAGCTTTAGAATTTCCAAAGGTGCGTCCTCGACTTCCTTTATCACTTCGTATTTTACATTGACGGCCTTCCTTTAGCGACATACCGAAGATGTTGTTGGTATGGATATCGCGAGCACAGGCAAATACATCATCACCTGTAGCAAGGTGAACGATCTTGTGATATGGGATTTGAAGGGGCAGATCCTTGCAACCGTGGAACTGCATCTGGGTTCGACTTACCGCGCACGGATATCACCTTGTGGACGTTTCGTCGGCACATCCGGTAATTTCCTTGTGTCACTCTTCGAGTGGTAAAGTGAAGAGATCGGTTTCAAGGCAATGTTTGATCGTATAGGATTCACACCGGACGTAAACGTATGGGAAGTAGCATTCACTAAAACCGGTGACTTCAAACAAGTGGCGAAAGCTTACGACCTCGCCGGCCACTCGTCCGGAATACTCGATTTCACCTTTAGCGCCGACAGCAGCTGCATGGCCACAGTTTCGAAGGACGGAACTTATCGTTTATACGATACGAAAAGTAATGAGCCGAGTGAATCCCTTCGCTCATTGTCAGTTTCCTTTCGGTGAACGGTTACTGATGGTTACTTACAAAATTTGTATTCGCAGTTGAATTCGAGAAGGGCGAGGATCCCCACTTGCTTCAGACTGGCTCGTGGGAGAACTCGGTGACGGCTAACATAGCGCTATCACCTAATAACGAAGTTTTGGCTATAGCTCATGGTTCCTCGTTGAGTTTTTACTCTACGCACACCGGACTGTTGGATAATACCATAGAAGATATATTTCTTGGTACTCTTCCATCGTATTTCATAATTGAACAATTGAATTGATTCATGAACCTTGCAGGACCTATAATGCGCCTAGCGTTCGACGCCGTTGGAGAATACATTCTGGTCGCCGGAGATAAGCAGATCAAAGTTTTCCGTAACGTCACCGGTTACCGAGCGGCGATCGAATCTGCGAGACGCAAACTCGCTCAGAGGCAAACGTCCGCAACGAAAGAACGCTTAGAGAAACTTATCAAGGATAATACAAAGTTTCTTGAAGCGATGGGGGAAAAGTGTCCTTTATATAAAATTTAAGAGAATATTGTTTATATTGTACAACATAATTTTTTAATGTGCTTGAATAAAGAGATTCATACGTGCTCATTTGTTTATAATAAAACATCTGACACATTCAACTTCATTGTTTTCCTAATCACAATTCGCGTGACTATTTCGCGTAGAATTTTGAAACATGCGAGCAGATACCATGTGAACTGTTGTCACCTTGAGTATGTAAGTAAATATTCGTTTGTGACATTGTTTCATTTACTCACGCTGCCGGGGACAGTCTCGATACAATCGTGAATAATGCCGGGAATAATAAAGGTACGTCCATTGATTAATTCAACGAAATAATTTTTTTTTATGAACTACCAATTCATTTTATTGTAGGAATCGCTAACTGGGTGGGAGTTGATCAACGATTTAGGTGCTTTGCCTGAGAACGAGAATATTAGTAAGTGTGCATTTACTTCTGGCATATGTACTTTAATTTCTTTTAGAATTAACACTATTGTGGTTTTAGTTACGGATTTCCTTTTGGAAAGATTGCAACGCGGTCAAATTTACACATGGATCGGATCGCTGCTCTTAACATTGAATCCCAGCAATGAAATGTCACCGCCTGATTTATACAACTCTTTGTTCCTGGATAAAAATGTTAATGTACCTGAAATCATTTACGGAGGGAGCCCTCATATATTCACTGTCGCTGCCAAGGCCCATTACAATCTTACAAATGAGATAGGAAAAAATTGTCAGGTAAAATCTTCAATGTCTCGGTAAATCCTGTAAGTACTAACTCGTTTCCTTTATAAATTCGTTAATCAAGGTGATTGTGATAAGTGGAGAGACTGGGACGGGAAAAACGTTCAATGCTTGCAAGTGTCTAGAATTTTTCAGCACCATTAACAAGTGTCAACTCTCTGAAGGTGACACGTGCGACATTATGCTAAGAATTACAGACGCTTGCCGTGTGATATCGGCTTTCACAACCGCGTGCACGGAGAAGAACGAAGTTAGTTCTAGGCACGGGCAACTCGTGAGGCTCCACTACAAAAGCGGTACCATTTCCGGCGCGACTATCACTTCGTTTCTTCTGGAGAGAAGCCGAGTGACGAGAGGCTCGAACAATTTTCAAATATTTTATCAGATAATATTCGGAATGTCGGACGCGGAACTTGAAGCTCTCAACTTATCGAAGGAGGAATATTACGACATATTAAACGTCATTGATTACAACAAGAGAAAATATTTTCAAAAAGGATTTCAAGACACTCTACGAGCCTTGGACGTGCTAGGCTTCAAGCCTGATCAGAAGAAACAAATTTTCCAAGTCTTTGCTTTGCTGATACACATGGGAAACATTAAATTTATCGAAAAGGGTGAAAACTGTACAGTCGATCTTAACAATAACAGTACGTTAAGTAATTTTCTTAAACGTGACCAAGGGATGAGGTGTCTTATACAGAGTTATTTGTAGAATCCAAGGAAGCTCTGAAAAGTACAAGCACTCTCAGCTGCTTAACAGAAGATGCCGTGATCGAATTGCTTACCACAATTTTAATAAATCCGCAAAGCGTTTGGCGGAAGCATACGACGTATCACCGACACCTTTTAACTGTGGACGCGTGCCGCAATAGATTGCATAGTATAATTAGGCACATATACGATCTCCTCTTCAATTGGATCTTGAATCACATAAACCGTACTCTATCCCTGAAACAGGAGTATTCGCAATGGCTTGGTACGTTGTAAAATTCTATTCTGTATTGGCAAAGTCTTCATTACTGGATTTCCTTCAGGAATATTAGATATTTTCGGTTTCGAATCGTTCGATACGAACGGCATCGAGCAATTATACGTGAATTACGCCAACGAGAAGATGCAGCAGAATTTCGTAGAGACTTATGTCGAAAGTAGACGCAACGACTTGCTGGAAGAAGGTTTCATAGAAAGTATTTCGCCGTTGCACACAATCGATTTGTACAAGGAACGTTTGCATGTGATCGAAGAGAATCTATTCCTTACTTTGAACGATGTACGTCAAAATACTTGTATTTAGTTGTACGTGAAAGGCTAATCGTAATTGTATTTCAGGCTTCTCAATCGCCTGTCGCCATGAATACTTTAACGATAATACGATTAGCGTGTAATAATTTTACCGGCGTGCAGAGAAAATTTTTAAGCGAGAAAGATGGCAATTTCGTTATATCGCATTACGCGGGTCCCGTCGCGTATTCCATTCGTGATTTATTGTATAAGAACACGGACAAGGTATCCAAACATTTAGCAAATTGGTTAAAGAATTAATAACGAGTATTGCGTATTGTAGGTACCGAATGAAATATCTCTTATTTTTAATGCGAGTAGAAATAAATTTCTCCGCTCTTTATTCATTATCGAGGAGGAGCAACAAAATGTAAAGACATGTACTAAAAAGAAAACAATGTTGGCTAAATTAAAATACAATATGGACTCGCTTATTAAAGAACTGAGTAAATGCGACTTGCACTACGTGCGATGCGTGAAACCAAAGTAGAATACATTTCTCTAGATTTATAATTGTTAAGTTCCTCTTGTGTAATATTAAATATTCCTTTTAGCCGACTGATAAATTACGAATGGGATCGAAAGGATTTTAAGAAACAATTAGCTTGCATCGGCGTTTTCGACGTCCTGCCCTTGGTTAAGTGCAAATATCCTATTCGGCTGCGTTATCGAGATTTCTATCATCGCTACTCCAAAAAACCAACGGAGACAACTGATCCCGAAAAATGTAAATTGATTCTAGAGTCCATCGCATCAAAGAAAGACTTGTTTGCGTTGGTTTATTTCGGCAAACAATTAATATTTTTGGCAGAACCAATTTTTATCAAGTTGGAATCCTATCGGAGAAATTATCGCGCTAAATGCGCTGACAGAATAAAAGCGTTCTTTATGAGGCACAGTAAGCATTACATTTCTATATGGATCTTAATCTCTGTTCTATGAATGTCTCTTTTAGGGCGCAAAGCAGAACCATTGTTTGTTTCAAAGTATTCAATGACCAATGACCAGAAATCTGACATAAATGAAACTGTTACGTCTATTAAAAATATTCTTGAACACGAATTAAATCGAGTCGAAAATAAGTCGAGTAGTTCGGAAGGAGATGAAGTATTTACGAACAGTCCGCTTCATCTTAGAAATATTAATGGAACAGAGAAAGATGTCGATGATGTTAATAGCCCGGAAAACAAAAATTCTGGCATTTCAAAAAAGATACAACACGACCGTGAAAACAGACAGAAAAAACTGATGGATCTTAGACAACATTTGAAACACAAACGCAACGAAAGTTGCTTTCAAGGCAGCGTTGCGAAATTTATGAAGAAGATGAATACCGAGTACAATTTCAAATCTAAGCAGCGCAAAAGTGTATCAAAGTATATTGTCGGTACAAAAAACAGTTGTAACGATAACAATAATAATTTATTGAAACAGTATTTAGACATACACGTTCCTTCTGTCGACGTTACGGACAGTGCCGATAAAAACACATCACCCGTGCAATACGACACGGTTCGTATTTTCATATTTGACTATTTAATATTCATTAGTTCGATGTTCTAAAAATGTATTATTCATAGATGACAGATTTGTACACGGTTCAAACGGAATCTTGTTTACTATTTTATAAAAAGGGAGTTTTGAATCGACGGCGACTTGCTACGGTACGTATTACGAAACTGCGAGCACTCAAAATTAATACTGATGTTAAAACACACATTGCAGTTACCGATAAAGGTACATACTCAGGCAACTTGTTTGTTTAATTCTCACGTAATACCACGCAAAGAGTTACCACAGGGACTGCAGGACTGTCTCTAACGAAAATTGATCTTTCCCATAAAGGTCAGTCATGCAGTTCAGTCTTACTTTTATTGTTGGTTTAATGACTATCTCGTTACATTTTTTAGCAATATACACGGAGCACATTGTTATGAAAGAGTACTAGTGCACGTAGTATCATAAAAATAGAAAAGTTTATGTACAGATTATTATACGCGTTTTGCGAATGTTTTCTTGCTGTAACGAGGAAATGTTAAAATCAATCTGTTCACCTGTATTTTTAAAATAAGACAAAATCTTGTAAAAATAAACATCTTGTTTGTATTAGAAAACTATGTGAACATCAAAAATTGTTTAAATTATAAGCGCCTTGAATGTATAACCGTGTCCTTCATCCTGCGATGCAAATTCATAAATAACAGTATACTAGATTGTAAGTGTCGCAAGGCCTTTTTCTTTTGTCTTTAAGTACTAGCAACCGTCGAGACGCGACAAGGGCGAGCGTGGCTTGCAGTTCGCTCCTTAAAATTTGATAATTTGCTCTCAAGCTGACGCGCCTTAAATTGTTCGGAGGCACGGGTCGTCCGCCAGCGAACGCGAATCTTATCTCTCGCCGAGGACCTCGCAATGTGGAATCAGGAAACACGGTTTGTCGATCCCACAACAAACGATTACTGACCGTGGGTCTAACATTTACGTATTTTATCTTACTTTTTATTGTGATGGGAAGCGGAATCGGTTTCTTGTATTCGTTCACAGTGCTTTTATAATTAGTCGGTAAATACGGTAACAGAGAATCTCCATAGTGTTCCATAAAGGCTTCGATGTTCAAAGTCTGGTTCTCTGATTTCATGAAAGCGCAAACAGCCAGCTGCAATTAAATCGTTTTTTATCAAAGAGACATAATGTGGAAGGAAAACATTTAAAAATTTGCTTACAGCTATTTTCTGCCATAGAACAGAACCGGGCGGTGCAAATTTTAAAACGGTATGCACCGAAAGTGGAGATTCCGGTTCCTGTTGAAAAAGTATTAAAGGCTCGACACTGACTAGAAGTTCCATGGCTAATATCCTTCTCTTATTAATATCTACATTCTTTTCCTCTTCTCTTAAAAGCACTTGCTCCAGCGCAGTAATATACCTTTTAATAAAAGTTGGTTTATATTAAGTTGTCTTATCCTCATCGAATATTTCGATTAATTAAACGTATATTTACTTGTCGGCAACGGACGGCCATCGAAGCATTAATTTTAGTACGCATTCTTTAAAGAGTGCTTCAAGGTTTGGATTTATAAAACCTTGTCCCAGTAGCAATTCCAACAGCAGTTCAGTCAGTTTGTTCACCTTCAATAAAAATATAATTACACTTTCCCAAAGAATAAATCGATGGAATTGATACAATCCTATCATAAAGAATTACCGAAGTTAAATAATGTGGATAAACAGCCTCGCTGTTACTTGCAATCGCAATAATGAGCTGGCAAGTCCTCGTGCAAACTCTTGTGTACTGTGCATTGTTCGAAATTACCATGGATCTGGCAATACATATTAATTTGTCTATCACTCCTTCTCCTCCCAAATAAGCATTGGTAGCACAGTCATTAATTAAAACCTGTGCACAAATCTGAATTGTGATATCCCTAATAATCATGTCAAAAGTAAATGTACCTGAAACGTTTTCTGGGATCCATTGAACAATGTTTTCAATGCACGTTTCGCGTAGTTATTGCGTGCTTCAGTAAGTCTCATGTCACATATTTCTGATTCTATAAAAAAGAATGATTGGCAATTTGTAAATAACAATGATTCAGTCAAATTGATGGAAGTATACCTTGAATAAAGGGTACATTGTTCTGTGTTACAATGAATGGATCATTTATCTTTTGCACCAGATTTACGATCCGTTCATTGGGAACAAAGACTTTCGCTTCCGTATGGAATTCAGGCAAAGATTCTGGCGCGCCGAATATCGGGTCTACATCGCACAAATTTGTGATCACAGCATTCACGTCAATAGACGTCAACCGTTTCCTCTTGCTATGTTTCAATCTCGTCACACATTTCTGAAAATTTCAGTTGTTTATATTTCATATATAATTCAAGCGAACGTATAAGAATGATTGTAAATACATGGAGAACTTCTCTGAGACGATACGAAGCATCCTCGGCAAGTCTTTTCAATAAAGAATCTGGCATGGGATGCATTCCCAGTTCTTCTCCAATCGCAGAAATCCAATCCGTGCTAAGCACGGCATATCTCCTCGTATTGCTTTCAGCAGCATTGTTGCTGTTAGTGTCACCGTTGTTATTAACGAAAGAGTTACTGTATCCCGAGCTGGTCTGGTTTGTCAACATTTCTTTCATGATTTCAAATTACAATTTGTCATTTATCAATGAAACGGTATAGCCGATGAAATGAGAATCTTATTCCTGTTAGAATTTATTAAATCACACGGATAAAAAGTTAACTCAACTGATTGACTGACTAAAGATTGATTCTGTTTCAATTGTCAAGAATGAAGAAAAAATTGATTGTTATCCTCGCAGCAATCGCAATTAAATAAATAAGTTGCAATCGGACCCTGAAGATGACGCCGGTTGCCCGTCAAAGTTTTCTGCTGTCCTTGTCGGTTTCGCAGGACCCGATATCTTCTATCGTTCTCTCGTGAAAGCTGACGTTCCGTAAAATTTCAAGGGGCACACCGACCAATCGGAACTGACGACGAAATTTACGCACAGAAATATCACTGACGTGTCCACGGAAGGGAGACTACTTCAAGGGTTTAGAATTATTCTGGTTTCGTACAGTTTCTTGTAAGAGCAGTACTTGAAAACAACAGAGTTCGCCAGATCGTGTTAATTACAGTGCAATTTGTGATATCCACCAACGAAATTATGGCATCGACATTAAACACGTTCGTGAATTACTTCTCCAACAGACTGTAAGTATTTTCGTCTCGCCCGAAGAATCTTAATCCTTATTGACACGATATCGATAACACGGATGAATTACTTTCGCTTTTCTTATCATGTTCGAAATATACAATTTTCTACCCCTTCGTTTAAACTGGGCATCAAATTTCGGAAGAAAACGAGATAAAAGCGACGTCTTGCATGATGTAACTTTGGGAGTTGCTAGAAAAAATTCGTGACTGACAAAACGTTGTAAATCTTCGTTTCTACGCATTTCTGAATAAAATTATTTATCATGATACGCGCTTTTCTCTTGCCTTATACGTGTTATCGGTGTACTTGCGTGGCCTTCGGGCGTACATGTACATTCGAGAACTTCATTAATCTGAATATTTCATGTTGTGAAACTTTTCATTTACGAACATAGTATGTATTACGTGACATACGTATTATGAAGTCCGGCCATGCTCGTGAAATGGTAATTATTTTCCGCGATCTTTCTACGTCCTTATTTGACTTTACATAGCCACTCGCTTTTTCTCTATTATTTTTAGTTGTTCTTCTGTAGGACAAATAATACAACCAGCACCTACTTATGATTTCAGGGAGTCCCCCGTTAGACAACACCTGAAGAATGTCTACGGTTGTCTGTCCATGTCAACATTGGCTGCAGCTGCAGGCGCCTATGTTCACATGTTCACAGAGCTCCTGCAGGCCAATTTGTTGACAAGTCTCGGGACCGTGTTCTTACTCCTCGCTTTAGTCAGCACACCAGACAATGCGAAAAATCAAAAGTCACGGCTCGGCTACCTGTTGGGATTCGCATTTTTGTCTGGCATTGGCTTAGGACCTCTACTTCAATTTGCCATAAGCGTTGATCCAACTATCGTAGTGTCTGCATTGATGGGTAAATTGTAGCTTTATACACAAAGCCATTATATAGCTGAATCCAGTTTTTTATTAATTTAAAATTGTTTCATCATGCAACATATAATTATGTTTGCAGGTACAGCCGTTGTATTCGTATCATTCAGTCTCTCGGCTCTCCTGGCTGAAAGGGGATGCTGGTTGTACCTTGGCGGCACCTTGATCAGCTTGCTGAACACCATGGTATTGTTTTCATTCATCAACCTATTCCTCCGTTGGACCTTCTTCTACCAAATCCACTTGTACGTCGGACTATTCTTGATGTGCGGTTTCGTCATCTACGATACGCAGTTGATCATTGAGAAAGTCCACATGGGCAACAAAGATTTCATTATGCACTCGTTAGACTTATTTATGGATTTCATTAGCATTTTCCGCCACCTTGTCATTCTTTTGACGCAAAAGGTAAGCATGGGGAACGATATTCTTTTGCACAATTGTCTACAATCGTTAGTTTTATTTGTTGCAGGAAATTGGGAAGGAGCAGCAACGTAAACGCAAAGATTAAACGCGAGTGAAGAAGGTTGTAAAGTATCATACCATTGAAGTAAATCCATGAATTAGAGATCTTCATCTAATCTATCCATATGTAAGACGTATATTAACTATGATAAAAAAAAAGTGAATTCAAATAATACAGCTTATCGAGTTACATCGGAAAATTGTTTAGGAGAGGCATTAGCCGAAAGGACGCAATTGTATTTATTTCGAATCACTTAGTTGTCACTTCTTTTTCAATTCTTCTATTACATATTAGATTTATATACATGTATACATAAATAGATATAAATTTATTGTACTATATTTTTATCTTTCAATAAACAAAATTTCCCAGCGTCCCTGGGTCTCCTTTTTTTATAAAGGCGGTGGTGTTCTTCAAATAACGATAAAACGTTGTCTTGTACAGGGGTAGAGGTCTTATTTATTAAAATGTAACTTTACACATGCGCTTATAGTTTATACACGCGTATACAAAGCAGAAAAATTACGCGTTGCGCATCGATTTCCGTAAATATAAAAAATGTACGAGGGAAAACAAATCGATGATAAATGGAGTGTAACACGTTTTCTGTGTTATGAAAAATATACATTACATACGTTGAGATATTGTGTACAAAATGCGTACAACACGTCAATCGAGTGATATACGAATCACTTATTAATTAACAATTAATAAGGACGCTGACGATCTCTGTCCCTATCTCCTCGACTGTAACAGAAAAAGTAAAATTAAAATCGATCGCTCCTCTGTCCAATCGATAAAAAATAAAACAATTTAACTAACCCTCCACCTCCTCTCATTGGACCTCCCCGGCCACCTCTGCCGCCCCTGTCGCCGCCCCGAAAACCGCCTCGCCCACCTCGGTCGCCTCCCCGGCCACCCCTATCGCTTCTGAAACCGCCCCGACCACCTCGATCGCCACCACGACTGCCTCCTCTCCCGCCACCTCCGCTACCACCGGCACCCTCTGGCTTCAAGCTTTTGCAGAGATTACATTGATCCCTCCACGCGAAATTCGTGTTCCCGCACTCTGGATTGGGACACCTCCAATCTCCTCCTCGGCCACCCCCATCGCGCCTATCATCTCCACCGCCGCGATGATGATCATCTCTATCACCACCGCCGCCACGGCTTCCGAAACTACTTCCTCCTCGGCCACGGCTACCGCCACCGCGGCTTCCACCGCTTCGATTGCCTTGCCAGTTGCTCTTGTGCTGAGCAATTTGTACTTTAATAATTCGCCCCTTGAAGTCCTTGCCGTCGAACCAATCTATCGCGGATCGGGCGGCGTTTTGATCATCGTAAGTTACGGTGGCTTCGCCTTTAGATTTTCCGGTGTTCTTATCTTTGTACATCCACACTTTCGGTTTTCCCGTTCGCTTATCATGCTGTGTACACAAAACATATTGCTCGAATCAGTATTTGCTCACGGAAGAACCAGTGTTTGTCACGACTTACTTTGATTATACCAATGGCACCGAAATGTTGACAGATTTCTTCCTCCGTAATAGAGACATCCATACCAGATACAAAAATAGTATCTTCCTGCGTGACCATTCCATCGTTGCCACCACCGCGGTCACCATAGCCCCCTGTAATTTAATAACAGTTAACACATTGCCTGGCACGGTAATCGTTCAGGTAAAGGAATAATACTTGCAAATCTACTAAACCTACTCAAGTCTAAGCTAACAAGTGGAAACCTTTTGCATGTCGGGTTAAAAAACAACTAATAACGCAGTACACTGTGGAGGAAATTGAATTTTGCAAACCATGGAGGAACTTTATTCTATTACGTATCGTTTCCGTTTAAAAGAAAAATCGATAGAATTAGCCCTCTCCGAAATTCACATTACAACCCTATGCGCTAATCAGATAATACTTCATCCTTCTCATTCTTCTTGAAGTACTCTCGATACATTATTTACTTCACCAACAAAAGTAACCATTACCCAAATGACCGTATTTCCAAGTAAAAATGAATTTCTTTTACATTAACATATACCAGGAATTTGAATCAGTGTATGTTCGGGAATACACAAATATCTTATATGCACCTTTTGTGATAGTACTCGAAGCTTCTCGATTTGGTCGTGACACCTCTAACATTATATTCTTACGTAAAATATTCGATTCAAACGTACTTATTTTCTGTTTGACCCGTGCAGTAACGAAAGTATTAGTACTCATTTGCCTAACATTCTTAGTAGCATATAACGATATGTAGAGAACACAAGGTTGCAGCTTAACATACAAAAGGGCTGCAATACTTTTACGCTCGCCATTTCCCTACTAACTAGATTTTCGGGGAAACCTCGACTGATCAGGGATACATAAATAATTAGCTCACCAGCTGCCTTTTATAGTTAATACTACACCGGGATGTTCGTTACATGATAAGATCAAGTGAAGTGTTTCGTATCTCTCTTCTTACGAACTATTTCCCTTTTACAGAAAATAATGAAAGTATTACAAGTACATGGCGCACTCGTATTTGTACAAACGATAATGTCGCTTATTTAATTTACTATTTTATCGTTTGAAAAAGCAATTGGTGATAAAAACAGCGTTTATAGCGCTGCGTGAACATCAGTTTACCGTGTACCACACGTTCATTAAATTCTATAACTGACATTTCAATGCCCAGAATTGAACTCCTATCAACGTTGCATTAGCAGCCCTTTCATATAATACGAGTAACCGAGTATTTAGACTTTAAATATTAGAGTGAAAGCTTGAATAGCACCAGACTCGTACAGACAGTCTGGTGCATTTACCTTTGTTATAACCACCACGGCCACCGCCACTGCTAAAACACAGAAGCAGATATACCAATGAGTTGACTCATGGACAGACTGATCGATCGATCGATGCATGGCGAATCAAATGCTGCTCGCCATCTCTCTTCTTGATGCACCTACTGTCTAAATGTCTCTGGTCACTATGTTACTCAATATATTAAGGACAATTAGAACGTACAGCGTCACGTCAGTCAGTCACGTTCGGCATGCAAAGCTAGCTTTGTATTGTGGTAGCGGCAGTTACAATACTTCTCGAGAATAGATTTTTTTTACTTTCCACAATTACCGATAATAACTGTGATCAGATCCGGAGTAAAAAAAGAAATGATTAATATGTACTGACGAACAACGTTAATATCCTGTTACAAAAAAAGATAAAATACTTTTGGAACTCCAGCTAAGAAATCGCAATCTCTCTCGTGAAATATCTTTGAACGTCTTTCGATTGTCTAGTCGATTTAAATAACCCTAAGTAATAATACTCAGACAACAGTGGCCCCAGTGGCATTATATACACCGCTTCACAGGTACGTTCGACATTAAAACCTTTACGCTATGCGCATCGTGTTAACACTTATCGTAATATTATTAGAATCGGTATGTACCAGACATTTTACGTCATTTGTCGTATACAACCTGTTCTTTTATCTTTTACCAGTTATACCTGTGCGTTAAACCTGTAGGCACACTTCAAACAATATTAACACCCAATGGGCATAAGACCATTTGCAAACAGACAACAACAGTTTTCATTACTTTTCATAAGAATCACATTTCCTACCTTGAACGTACTTTTACCTCTTCGTCATGATTTTATATCATTGAACTCTTTCTCTTTTTTTTTTTAATTGACCTTATAACTTTTTTCGCTTGATTATGCGTATAGGGACAGTAAAAGAAATAAACTTACTTGTATCCACCGCCGGAGCGGTCATTGTAGCCACCACGATCCCCGTATCTACCGCCTCCGCCTCCTCCTTGACCTTAAGATTAATACAAGGCAATTATCTTCTGTTACTTCTTATCCAAATTACTTATAGATTTCGATATGTACCTCCACCATAGCCTCCTCCAGAGCTGCGATTGTAGCCTCCACTGCCTCCTCCTCCTCCTCCTCCATGTCCATAATTACCTCCACCATAATTACTATTTCCACTATTCCCAGAGCCACCTCCGCTATAATTTTGACTGTAACCCTGGCTCGGTGGCTGATTATAATCTTGTCCACCGCCAGAGTTGTAACTATTATAATTGCCGTAATTGCCTCCAGTACTTGGGGGTGGCTGACTATATTGATTGTAGCCACCGCTACCACCAGTGGAAGGTGGTGGATACGAGGTATCCTGACCACTGGATGGTGGTGGCTGACTGTACTGGTTGTACCCTTGTTGTTGGTAATTTGAATACTCTGCGAAATATTAGAAAAACACAACATATACAGAATTCGATTATTTCACAGAGATTTTGTAAAATATATTCAGAAAATATTTAGAATTCACTTAAATGAAGAAGGAATAGTTAAAAGACAATTTGCATACGGCAAACTGAAAAGAAAGTGGGACGGGACGCTTTGAATACCGATCAATAAGTTTACGAGGAAATGCATGGAAGTGGCGAATGCTAATTAAAATTCCATCTACGGGTTTACACGATTTTATTCAATTCTATTCTTAGGCCATAGTTTACATCAACGACCAGCTGATAAAAGCGCATTATGAATTACTTAAACAAAAAAGGTTTAAAGAAAGATTCTCAAACGTGGCAATGCGACGAGCTGTACAAACACACATTGTCGAAGAAGTTCTCGAATGAAAAACCGAGTCTAGTTCGAGAGAAATGAAATTCACGTCGACGTAGAGTAGTTCGGAGTTTTTAATAGAAATATCTGTAGCCTTTTTTACTTACGAGCGTCCGTCATCGTGTCTTCCTCCCGTAATCAAAAGCTGCACGGCAGAAAAAGCACGTAATGGCGGGAATCAGCAACTTTCCAATGACGAATCTCAACGAGCTGTGTAGCTCGGCGTTTCACTACCGGATATTGATCACAACTACCGGAAATTCCTCTGAATAGATGGAGCAACAGTCACTGGGATTTCAAATCGCCACTGTAGTAGTGTTCTTTGCGAATTCAAATAGTACGTTAGTGCGCGAGGGATTGTGGAATGCGGCAAAGGTAAAAAAAGCAAAATTTTATAATTATTTTTATTGATTCACTATCATAGTACTAAACACACGTATTTCAAATTCTCATAATGCATAATTTCGGTTACGGATCACGAGAAAGAGAACGCTATTTTTGGCATGGTAGAAAACATTATCATCAATCATTGTTTCTTTTCTGATATAATATTTACAAATGGTAATAGATGACAGCGATACATCGTGTTCACTTACTGTTCACGTATTCAGTTCTATATTTATACCTTACCATGTAACTTATAAAATTATGCAGTTGTATCAAAACTTTTACTGAAATTAATGGTGCGTCGTCGACTTTACAAGTATACAATTCTACGACACTTGGAAAACAAAAATGAACATAGTTTTCATAAAAAGAAAATCAGGTATCGTTTGGAATTACGTTTCCATGAAATCGATCGGTGAGAACGAATGGATATTACGATATATTTTCGAGAAATGAAAAACGGCTGGGTCAAAAATATGTTTCCTTACGGTATATTATATATATATATGTACACGATAAGCAGAAAGAAAAGTTCACGACGTCGGATCAAAAAGTAGGTACAACAAACGAAAGGGGTGAAATTGAAGATCACGAATTGGAATGTTGGGACGGTGTTAAGCCGCCGCTATGTTCAGGACTGTGTTTCTGCTTTTTCCTCTTCTTCTCCTTTTTCCGTTTCTTCCGAGCTTCCTTTTCTTCATCGTGTCTTTTCTGTTTCTTATGTTTCTTTTCGTGAGTATCAGAGCCACCGATATCTGTAGTTGTCGCTTCTTGGCCACTGGGAACTTCCCCTGGTTTGTGCTTATGTTTCTTGTGTTTATTCTTATGTTTTCTTTGGGGAGCTTGATTAACATAACGATACTGCTCTGGTAACTAGAGGAATGCATTTCCTTATTAAGCATCTCAATTGACAAATCTTTACTGAATGATCGTAGGTACTCACTGGGCCAGGATGCAAACGAAATCCAGCTAATTGAACACTTGTTAATGGTACTAAATCTTTTCCTCCTATTGGAGGCTTCTCAATCACAGACCTCAACGAACTGAAATGTTAATTTCCAAAATTAAGCTTAGCAATAGCTATGGATATCGTACACATAGAAAATTGGTGTTTTACCTATTATCCAAGTGACCAGGTCTATCTATAATCCCAGGTAGATTAGGCAAGAATGAAGAAAGTTGTTCTTTAAGTTTTTTACCACTAAATTTACTGTAAGAATGTTCTAGGCCATAATAGGCCATCAAGTTTGTTGCCCCTGTCAGCTCACTTTCTCCTATAAGATATAATAGAAAGCTATGATACCTTTTATATATATTTTATAAACATTTAATAGCACATTATTATAATATTGTACCAGGGGGTTCCTTCATCAAGTAGAAAGGACCACTGTGGACGATAGAGGGATTTTTGCCCAGGGAAATGGTTGTCTTAAGTGTCCCTGTTGAATCTTGACGTGATACAACAGGGGAACGAGCACCCCTGGGTGATGATTTTGGTGAGTACTGCTCCACTTTGCTACGAAACTGATCACCCATCATCATCCTTTGATTTTACTTCATGGCACCTTCACTATAATAGTTCGAATCCTCTTTTGGTCGGCCAACGGTTCTCTACTAAAATGTCCAGGTGCAATTCGGTACAAAATGCACACTGAACATTTTTTGCACTTTTACTACCGGAGTGATTCAATAAATTAAACAATATATATTCTTAGAATAACTTATATCTTGTTTTACAAACTACGTAATACGGTTTCGTATCATCACGATTTATATACAGTTCGTTCGAAATGGGCTACTTTTGCTTATCAAACGAGAACTTGTTCTAAGAACGCTGTGGCATTTAATTATGCACATGCTGTTGGAAACGTTACAGACAGATTCGTGCATGTTAACTCGTCTAGATTCATCGTTTCCCCGTATAAATCTACTAACCAACCGATTCTCGTTCTCACGTTCATTTGTTAGCGAAGTATCAACCGATTAACAATTGTTTATGTACTTCATTCTTTCCTTTTCGTACGTCGCGTAATGCACAACAAAAATCACAGTTTGTTCATAGCTGTTTCTAGATCAGGTATTACTATATATATACAGTACATGTACCACATATAATGCACTTCTATGTAGATAAGAAACTAAAGAAACCATATGCAAGTTACATATATATAGATAAATTACGTATCTTTTATTTCGTCTTACAATCAAAAGAAGATAAGATAAAAATTGTGTTTGATTTTACAATTCTGTATTTATTTATTGCATGTACAATCAATACAATGTATGCCGACAGATCTTGTAGGGGCTATCTTCAGATCGTAGAACTTATACCTGTATTAGTAACCAGTATGTGAGTGATGTGAATTACTAACACATGCTTCGTGTCTTCTATGTATGTAC